CAGTTTGATTCTCTGATAAATATGACCTTTTTTCAGCCCCTCCCTATGAAGGTAGGATGTATCAAGAAAACAAACCAAACTGAAAAGGTCATGATTTTGAAGTCTTAAAAATATTTAAACAGTGGAGTCAGTTTAACTATCATTTTTCTTAACACTGAGTAAATACATTGCGACAAAAGAAGAGAAAAAAATAAACCAAATGGGACAAGAGGACCCTGCTGTTCCACTCTTGGCTCTAAAGCTAGGAATATTGCTTTTGGAGTCTCATTCAAACCATTTCAATGTCTATTTCAGCAGGAAAAAGTGGACCACAGTAATTTTGAGCTTCTCAGTTATCAAATGTATTTAAAAACCCTGGTACAAAATGTTCATTAAAACATCAGACAGCAAAAATATCTGTGAACCTTGAAAGTATCATTATTGATATACACCGACCATTCTAGTTTTCAATTATGTGAATTTTTTTATACAAGGGCCAGCATTTGTACCAAGTAAATATCTAGAACTCTAGAACAATGCTTAGCTTGTGTAGCTAAGTTTTCCCCAGCCATTACTTTTGAACAGCAGATAAGGAATCCATTGTTGGTTGAGATGGGTCATGCTTTGTTATGCTTTGCTTTGTTCTACTAAAATGGTATTAAAACAGAACTGGAGGCTTAATTTTACTTATTCATAAAGCTACATATGCCAAATTATATTTTAAATAAATAATGTGAGATGTTTTTAAGTGTGCAAGGCCATTATCTCATCTAGAATGGACACTGCTGATTAAATAACCTTAAATTTGTTTTTGAGTTTTCAGAGGGGAGCTACTTGGCATGGTTTATTAGTTTTTTTTTCTAGTGATCTACACAAGAGAGATATTTCAAGCTCTGCAGAAGGTACCTCCTCTTTCCACTCCCAGGAGTAGACATTTAGCTTTTATTTTCTGGGAAGGCATTTTGAAAGGGCTTAAGGCATTGGTTTTTATTTCATTTCCTAAAACCTTTGCAATAACATTCTGGAGTGGCCCTGGAAGTCTTCCTATTACACCAGTGACCATCCCAGAATCAGCCTGGTACTGGTGCTTAGCCCTTAGTAAAACAGTAGACTTAGACGGAGCAGCTCATGACTGTGTTACCTATCAGTGTGTTTCAGTATTAAAAAAAGAAAACAGTTGTTTAAAAATCAGAAAAGAGAGATTTTGTTATGATAAATACAGCTTTGAGAGGTACCTGGAACGAGGCCAACTGTGTATAGAAAGCTAAGCACATATCTTCCAAGCTTATTCCTAATAGACATGGTAGCATTTTCCACTCCCAGCCAATCATCTGTACCTTTTCTTATTTGAATTCAGTGGTTGCACTTAGTTTCTTTTTCCTTTTTTTGCATTTAGCTTTTTAAGACTTAGTTTTCTGTATATGTGTGAATGGCTACATACACATATTTGCACACACCTGGAGGCTAGACAAGGGCATTGAATCTCCTAGAGAGGGAGTTACAAACAGTTGTACATCACCATGTGGGTACTGGTAACCAAACCTGGGACCTCTGTAAAAGCAGTGTGTGCCCTTAACTGCTGAGCCATCTCTCCAACCTTTTATCTACATTTCTATTGCAAATACAATCTGTGGACACAAATAAACGATATCTTTATGCATTTTATAGAGCTCTATCTGCATTTACAGAATTAAAATGCAGTGGATTTGAGTAATCACTAATTTAGATATAAATATATTTTAATTTTCTATATACATGAAACAAAAATAATGCGCCATGATTGTCAACCTTCAATCATTGCAGTATATGGGACTTTTCATTATCCTTCCTACTGCCCACTTTGATGCCATACACTACATTTTTCTGAGTGTGAAAAATTCATTTAAAGAAGGTGTAATTTAGCTCATAAATTGATTTACATCTGTTGTTTGTTCTGAAGCTATAAGTCAAAATGACCATAATATTTATAATGCAAAGTACAAGTACAATTTATAAGTGGTAGCCACCTCAGACAAAGCAGTAGTTCTAAGCATGAGCGGAAAGAGTTCACAGTTCTAATTTGGGGTCTTACCATGGTTTTAGGGGTAAATCTCAAAATCTCTAAGACCTTCAGCTTCTTAATATAAAAAATGGATAAACGTTAAAAACTATGATGTATGTAGATATTGATCTCAAGCCAGCCACTCAGAGATGACTTTTTTAGAAACAGTCTGGCCAACAAATCAGCTCTAAGTGCCTGGTAGATTACAATATACACATGTTAAATTGTTCTGAGATAAAAAGAAAGCATAGTCAACACGGCATCTGACTCATTCTCTGTTCTGGAAACTATGGGCCTGTGAAACAGCACTCAAGTACTGTCCCATTAGTAAAAATCAGTGTCCTCTACTATAGCTATGAACATTCACCAAAGGACATGTATTCCTGTAGGAGACTGACTGCCTAAGAAGCAGCTATTGATGGCTCTGCTATTGAAGCTCTCTCTTAAGAGCCGGCCCTGGATAGTATAGTTATATGGTAGAAATACGTGGGGATGGAAAACCACATCCACATACATGCATGTATACACACATACATTCAATAGATGTATAGTGTAATGCATATCCATTATGCACATATGTGGATATGCTTTCGTACAGATGTCCATTATTTTAGTATTTTTATTTATGAGAACATGTACATATATGATTAAGCTCTTCCCATAAGTATTCTTAAAGTCTATCCTATATCAAACCATCAAAGAACCCATAAGAATACAATTTTAAATTACTGCATAACTTGAAGTCTTTAGGAGAAAACAGTCATATTTTTACCTACAAGAAATTATATTTAGCCAGGTAGTGGTGGTGCACACCTTTAATCTCAGCACTTGGGAGGCAGAGGTAGGTGGATCTCTGTGAATTTGAGGCCAGCCTGGTCTGCAAAGCTACAAAGAGAAACCCTGTCTCAAAAAACAAACAAACAAACAAAAAAACAAAACAAAAAAAGAAAGAAAAAAAATTCTATTTAAATATGCATGTGTAGTGTTATGAAGGTCTATATTTTTGGGGATTTAATTTTATTCAAATCTATTTTGCTGTCTTGGAATGAGAATAGGACAAACTTCCTAAGACTTGAATCCTGGATTGGTTATTCATTGTTCTGTAATATGGCCAAGTGACTAGATTTCTATGGTTCTGCAGGTTTTTTTTTTCTTTCTTTTGTTATTGAACGAATGGAAGAAAACCTGATCTCCAGAGTTATCAAATGATTAGAGTAGAGGCATTCCTAAACAACTTATAAGCATACAAATGGTATTTTTTGTTTGTTTTTTGAGACAGGGTTTCTCTGTGTAGCTTTGTAGACCAGGCTGGCTTCAAACTCAAAGAGATCCACCTGCCTCTGCTTCCTGACTGCTGAGATTAAGAAGTAACTTTTTATGAAGTTATAAGAACATCACTTTGGGGATGATTTCTTTGAGGCAAATTTTTAGTGCTTCACAGGATAAATATATCAGGATTATTTGTTCTTTAGCTATTAAGATTTATGAATTATTTTTCAAGAAAATAAAATTTTCTCTTCTGTTGTGAAACCTGAATTTTCCATTTACAAAAAAAGATGTTTACTGTTCCTCTTTTTATGAAGTAATCTGCAGCCTACTGTAGTGGGCCAATCTCCATGCAGGTTTAGCAAATCCTATGTGAATTTTCTAAAATATCAAAGAGATTTTAAAGACCTTCCAAAGCTAGCTCCTACCCCGGAATATTTTGTAGTTTTGAGCTTTTCTGTATTCACAGAGCCTCTTCAATTTACATTGCGTAGATAATATTTGAAGATTTAACATTTTCAACAATTTTGTCTACCAAAACATTTGTTCCTTTTGTGGAGATATCACGCAGAGAAGACACTTTAAAAATAGAAAAAACTTTATGGAAAGTTAACAAATAATGTTATAACTTTGCCACCAGATGTTTACAGCCATTTGTATTCTCTATTTGATTGGAATCTTGTCACACAAACACAGTCTTGACAATCTTAGAGTTACTTTGGACTTCCCATTCACATTGTATACTCTCTTGAGTGGAAATATGTCTTGGAAATCCATGATATGAACACCTTTTGTGAACTTCAGTTAAAGCAGTAGAAAGAGCAGACTGACTAAAAGAAGCTTAATCTGCAGCTGAAGGATTTAGATGAGACAAAGAAAACGTTTTAAACTGTACTTTGTTATTATTTTAAGTAGAATTTAGGAATATGTCACTCTTCAAAGTATTTTAGTGAATCTTAGCAAATGGATTAAATGAACCTCATTTTTTATCAGGAATAATAAATATTAATGAAAGAATGTCCCAATTTCTTTTTCATTTTTTTCAAAGCCCAGCTAAATTGCCGCTGGTGAACTTGGATGATGTTATGATTGTCATCATCTCATTACTTGAAAGCTTTATGGGTTCAAACCTGGGCAGTAGAGTCTGCACAATCCCTTCATGGTTTATTTAAGAAAATCACAATTTATTTTATCTTACCAATCCAGCTGATTTTCCTAAGGAAAGTTTTTGTTGCCATATTTGAAGAGTTTTCTTCTTGGCTACTTTCTTTCTATCACTCAATGGACTACATTTAGTATACTTCAGAGTTCCAAGTAGTTATCCATAGCTGTGTTTTAGGTATGCGTTAAGTGAAGATGATTCAGTTTTTAAAATTAGGGAATTTTGGAACCAGCTGTTAAGGAGGAATATTAACAATCAGAGGCTCATTATGGGGTCTGATATATAAAAAATGAAATAGCACTTTGCATATGTAATTGTTCAAGGAAAATGGTACAGAAATAAATTTTACAGCAATATTACAGGTGTATCTCCGTGAGTCAGGATAAAATATATATTAAAATTCCAAACTATAACAAGGTGATAAAGGGATTGTAGGTAAATAGTAGTTACCTAAAATCTGGTATTGATAACATTAATATCTGAATCTTTCATTTTATTATTTTTATTTTCTGTTGGCATACCTTCAATTTTTACTCTTTGTTTTGCAGATTAATTTAATTGAGTAGCAGATATTAATGATGGAAAATTAGAAATCAATATAACAGTTGAAGGTGAGTCTTTATGCAGGTGGGGTAAAACTTACATCTCAAGCCCCAAAAGAGTGGAGAGGATTTGGTACTGGGACTTGAGAATGTTTGTGTGGGCCAGTGAATTATTATTATTATTATTATTATTATTATTATTGGTTTTTCGAGAGAGGGTTTCTCTGTATTGTTTTGGAGCCTGTCCTGGAGTGGGCTGGCCTTGAACTCAGAGATCTGCCTGTCTCTGCCTCCCGAGTGCTGGGATTAAAGGTGTGTGCTACCAACCCAGGCCCTAGTAAATGTATTTTTAATTCACCCTTATTTTAGTATGTAGTCCACTTAAGTTCATAAGATACTCTACTGCCTGCCAATCTCAGATTAGTATGTTTACATTTTCACCTGTCAAAAGCTCTACAGGGCTTCCAAATTTCTCAGCTGTCGATTTTGTGATCAGCAACAGGTTAAAGTAGAAACAGCTCTATCTCTAGATAGCTAGGTATATAAAGATAATCCCATATGTCTGAACTAGTATCTATATATCAACACTTCTTTGACTTATTTGAAACATTTTTCACTTGGTCATTGCTTCATACATATGACTTTAATATTCTCTTTTATTTCCTTATACATATGAAGCATATTTTAATAATATTAGCAGGTTAAGCTTCTACAAGACTGATTATTGGAGCTGCCTTTCTACTTATTTGACCTCATAATATTTAGGGTTTATGTATCATATTAAAAAATAATTGTGATGTTCTATTTAGACATTGTGAGCATTCCTTGAGTCCTGTATGCACCATCTAGAAAGGGCTTCTAGTTCTCTTTCTCAGATGTATGGGATGTAAAACCAGTTTGGCAAACTGATCATCATCTAATTCTTTAGATAATATGAATGCATGATATAAAAAAGAAAAAAAATCATATGGTCAAAGAAACTTTTTTATCTGCTAATGCTACCAAAAAACAAAAAGCAAGCAAGCAAACAAACAAACAAACAAACAAAACAAAACAAGCAAAGATAGACACATTTCGTTTGGGGCAAGTTCCTTTCCTAATGTGTGACAGTTTAGGAGTCCTTGATTCATAGCTTATTCTCTGATTTCCTATCTTTGACTGACTCAGTGCTTAGTCTTGTGCTGTATAGACACTGGACAATCAATTGGGGTTAGCAGGTACTGGTGTTAGATTTAGTTTCTTCTTTAGAGTTATATGTCCATCTAGTTATAACATTAAAACTATTAGCTTACTTCCTTGTAACTTAGTCCATGCTTTTGGAGAACCTTTAAAAATATACAATATGCATTTCCCAGGTGTTTGTGAGAATAAAATTCAGTTATTACAATGTTCAGGGTTCCATTCTGACCTTTGGTGTTTCCTTCCCCTGGCTTTCATAGTCATCTTCTAAGTCATGGGTTGGCAGCCTATGGTCTATGAGACTAATGTGGCCATTGGTTTTATAATGGTGTGTGTGTGTGTGTGTGTGTGTGTGTGTGTGTGTGTGTGTGTGTGTGTATGTGTGTG